TCTTTAAGGTTGAGACAAAGCCAATACAAATATTTAAAAGCTTCTTTGCCACATGACGCAGACTTGGCTGCCCGACGATCAATATAAGAACATCTCTGGTCACTAAAAACAGTAAAAAGCAGACAATGGTGGTAAACAGACCAACCAACCGACACTCAATTCTGGTACTTTATGCAATATAATGGAACAGACAGTGCCTGTGATGCACCCACGTAGTATACTATAACATACACGCCCACACATCCATAAGGTGGCTTCACCGTTTATATTGTGGCAGTAATTTTTGCGAATTGCTTGCAAACAGCACCACCTGGCAATGGAGAGCAGAATTTGACGTGAAAATTTTTTGCAACTAACCAAAATTGTGAAATTCATGAAAATATTTTACCACAAAAAGAAACCGGTAACGGTAATTTAATCACAGTAAGGGCTTTAATCGATTTTTTTACATACACATTAACTAAAACATCAACTAATACATGACATTACATGTAAATGTTTATAAATACCGACTGCAACAATAATCACAAATATTACCTTTATCATGTTGTTCCTTGTCTTGTCTCAGTGCAGGTATCATAATAGGATCATCATTAATAGTCTCCAAGAAAAAAGAAGCTTTCTCATCATTACTAGATGAACCATTCCTTATCTTCTGTAGAATAGGAAGGGACACTTCTTCCACTGACAGTATAAACTCTAACAATTGAAGTGACTCCAACATTGAGTAAACACAACTACTAGGAATGAATCCCTCATCATCAGACACCAAGGATCTTCCTTTCCAATAAAAACTACTCTCCTTCTCATATATCTCCAGCTGCTCTCCCTCACTGAATGATATTTCATTACTCTCCATTGCATGATAGTCATAACGAGCAATAAAAACAGATTCTGTTGTTGGTTTATTCACTATATACCAGTGATACAATATATCAATCAGTTAATGAAATAATGACACATACTTCTTATTATATTTCTATACTTTTCATTCTCTTCTCTTTTATTTAGTATATGTACACTCATTACTGATATCTGTTCTTGTAGTTCAGTTATTTCTCTATTAATATCTATTAATGATTCATTCTGATCCAGTAAACCTATCATAGTATAATTATAATACACTAACACATACATTATGATTCAATACCAGTTTTATTTATTAATAATAATTGCAATTGTTCTGTTTCCATTCTCATTCCTCTTCTGATTCTGTATGATGCTGTAAATGATAAATAATAAAACAACAACAACAACAATAATAATAATAAGTTTTAAAGATAATGACTATAATACCATAGGGCACCTTTTTTCGAGAGCTGTAAATTTGCAAATTTGTAATTTTTTAAGATTTGTGAAAATTACTCTAATTAGCAAAAATCAAATGAATACGGTACAGAATGGCAGACGGCATAAATTCTTAAAAATTAAATCTGCAAAATCTAAAGCACTCAAAAATATTAAGGCGACCATGGTAATAATAATAATAATAATAATAATATTCCATCTCTCTCTTTCTTCCATCTTCTGTATTATACATATGTCCTATCTATCCTACACCTAAGTGTTTCTTTTCTTTGTATAATAATAATAATAATAATAATAATAATAATAATAATAATAATGATAATAATGATAATAATAATGATAATTCTAACCTGAATTAGTATTTTTTGGTAAAAACAAAAGTTGTTGAATTTCTTTTACTCTCATTTCTACATTATTTCAATTATAATTAATGAAGTTTTATTATACTTACTTGTTAGTGTTTCTTCTAATTGTTTGTTTGTCTTTATTTCTTTTATTATTTGTCTATTAATTATTGTCACACTTGTATCAGTTCATAGTATATCTGAAAAATAATAATCATTCATCAATTAATAATACTGGTCAACAACCATTACATTAATGTATTATTATACCTTGATTAATTACTGATTGAGGTGTTACTCCTTCTGTTTCTTTCTCCTCCAGTCATGCTACTCTCTCTTCCTATTAAGTTAGTTCAATAGAATAATCAAACACAAATTAATATACCTTTGTATCATGAGGTTGTTCCTTTATCTCCTGTACCTCCTCTTCCAGTGGTTCCTGTATTTCCTTTATAATATAGTATATAATGATAATTACTGACAGTATATATACACATACTTGTATCTTTTTTTTCTTCCATATTGTGCAGTATCCAACAGTAAGTTTCATCAGACCATTCTTTATTAATAATTCAAGATTCTCGCTCAATTTTATAATGAGAGCTCCGGTGAGAGAGTGAGGGAAGGAGCAAGTGATGGTGATGGAGTTTCCTTCTTTGATGTATTTTATTTTCACTAGTTTACCGGATGTCTT